CATAATTTCTTATGCATCCATATGTAACGGTCGTATTCCCCTTGGAATACCTACCACTACTTTGGGTGATGTAGCTCAGGAATGAAACTCAGCACTCGCTTACAAAACCCAACTTTATTAAATACTCAAAAACAACACAAAGATAAACTCACAATCATAAAAGGTAGAGTAGACTGGAACTGTATAAATCATTTAGTTAGAAACTGAAACCCCAATTTGGAAAAGACTCTAAACCCCTATTTTGAAAACCCTTTACATTTTCTTACCTGGACCCAAGGCCGAGGGCCTTGGGCTCCAGTTCCCCCAGCAGGACCCCTTCCTCTGGTGCACCACACAAACCACTCCACACCAAACTGACCCCTTGATCAAGTGCACTGGCCTACTTAAAGCAACAGCCTTCAGTAGGTCAGCACAACAAGTTATTGTTTAACAACACTACCAGCCTACTCACACAACATTGCCAAACACTTCCTCTTTACAATATTTGACCCTCCTATTACATCCCCCCATTTCCTCCAGACGATGTCCCCAGCGTCTCAACTACATAGATACATCCACTCAGAGAGAGAAAAAAAATTAATAACAAAAACTGATAAAATCTTTTAAAACTGTACCTAAACAAAATTAAAATAAGGTTTAGGAGGGGAAGAACTGACCAACTGTTTGCTGACTTCCTCAGCAGTTGCGTCGATAAAGCCTCCTCGAACAGTCGTTGGTCTTCAGATGTTTGACCACAGCCATGTCTTCTGCGATGTCTCCCACTTCGGTGTCTATAGTCTGTAGTCCATCCAGCGTTCCTTGACAGCATTGATGATGAATCGACTTTGGTTGACGATGATGTTGGACTGCTTTTGCCATTATCGAGTGTACTGCAGCCTGAAGTTCTCCTCTTCTTAAAAGCCCTTGCCCCCAGCTGCGTTTCCCCAGTTTTCATTGAGTTTGACAAAGTCTCTTCCTCCGATCACAATGTTGAAGATAACACGCCAAATCATGAAGTTCTTGTAGCCTTGTCTACAGTTGGTCAGTGGGGATGGGTAAATAGGAAGCCTACACAAACATATAACTCACAAATACAACATATAATTTATAAAAAAAAACCCTAGACTTTTAAAGAAACTCTCAAACTCACATTAAGAACAAAACAAAACAACCAACATTGAAACAAAAATTATTGAAACTAAGAGAAGTGTTTGGAATGTGTTACCTTAACAAATCATTGGCCTCTACGATTAAACAACAAAACATTATAAATAATTTCAGATTGATTTACTTTAAATTCTTCAAATATAACCTTCTTCAAAGCATTTAAAACAATAAATGATGGAACAGTCTTTCATTTCTAGTATAAATTTAATTTAATTCTGAATAAACAAAAATATTCAATTTGTCTCCCATTTAAGTCCCTGATAATTAAAAATCTAAACAACAAAATATATCTCAATAAAATATTCTTTTAATACATAATCCGTCTGTGTCTTTAAATTTTGTGAGACTATTAAATTCACTAAAGGACACTATTGCAACGTTTAAAACATTATTTCCCAATACAGTTATTTTCGGGGAGTCATGCGATTTATCTCTTACCTAACAAAACAAAATTATCTCCCGAATCAAATTCAATTTCCCTTAGTATCTTTAAAAACACAACTAAAATTTATTACTATAAAAAAAATAATAGTTAAACAAACATTTCAAATCACTCCCTACTTTGCTTTGGTGTTAAAACAAGTGAAACATTTTACTTCAGTAGGCTACATTTTTAAATCACATACTCCAAAAACTTAAAAAAACAATATATAAATTCAAAAAAATGAACTTGAAAAAATTGCATGTGTAATTCTCTGATAAAAATTCAAAAACATGATTGCTGAAAAAAAAAAATGATTTGGGCCCAAATCGTTACAAACTAACCCGTAAGCAAAACCAATTTCCCTTTTAAAATTTCTCCAACAATCTATCACCTGTAAAAACAAAAATTTGTTCCCAAAATAAAACATTCATGCATTGCTGATTTCCCAAAGCAAACCAGTATTAAAAGGTAAACAGTGTAACACAACACGGTCAGCACTCAGCAAGGTCAGGTCACAGAGAGGCCATTTACACCACGCTCAGCATTCCTCAGCCTACAAACATGCTGACTTCTCTCACCGCAACTTTGCTCGTGCTATACTCTGAAATATCAACATGAACACCTACTCTAATCATTAACAGTATTAACCATTTGTAAAAATCCCCAACTGAAAAAAATATATTTACTATCAAATTAAAGTTTAAGCTCAAATATATTTCTAAAACAGTACACCATAATACACTATAAATAATTAACTATCCCTCAAACTACTTCTACAAAATATAATATATTGATCCATTATTCACTGCATCTACCGCGCATAAAGAGCTGAAACAGACTAGTTTGACAACATGTGTCTGCCACATTATTCGCACAATATACACTTTAGAGTGTAGAAATAGCAGGTCTGCAACCACAGAATCACATAATCAAGAAACGTGGGAACTACAAGATCCCAGATTCAACACAAATTTAACCAGGCAAATACACACACTTGTGCACAGCAAACAACATCTGAAACACACATTACACATGTGCATCCAGCACAGGACAAATAAAAACCTTGTGCAGCTAGCACTTAGCATAAAGTAAAAAAGTACCTCGTGCACTCAGCACGTAACACAAATTCACCTTGTGCTCCCAGCACATAACAAAAGTAAACCCTGTGCATCCAGCACAACTCATAATAGGCTACCTCGTGCATCCAGCACGCAACGCTTAACAACCATGTGCACTTAGCACATAACGCAAAAACTCTCGTGCTTCCAAACACGACACACAATAAACTCAAGGAACACATATCAAACTCACATGCAACCCGCACATGACGCATAGAACACTCGTGTAACCAAACACGAACACATATCGAACACACGTGCAACCCGCACATGACGCATAGAACACTCGTGTAACCCAACACGAACACATATCGAACTCACGTGCAACCCGCACATGACGCATAGAACACTCGTGTAACCCAACACGAACACATATCGAACTCACGTGCAACCCGCACATGACCATAGAACACTCGTGTAACCCACACGAACACATATCGAACTCACGTGCAACCCGCACATGACGCTTAGAACACTCGTGTAACCCAACACGAACACATATCAAACTCACGTGCAACCCGCACATGACACATAGAACACTCGTGTAACCCAACACGAACACATATCGAACTCACGTGCAACCCGCACATGACGCATAGACTCACACAAAATAACACTGTAAAACTTCACATTTACGGCATTCCAGCCCACAAAACACTGAACCCCCAAATAGAACTGATTAAAAACTGCACCAAAGTGGTGATTACAAATAATAAAAAAAAATATATATATTCAAAAACAAAATTTTCACATTACTAGAACCCCAAAAATTAAAGCCAATTATCTTTTCTAAGAGGTACCAAGATCGAAGTTTTGTAAAAAATTACAAAACCCCGGCGCTTCCATCACCTTGTAACGGTCGTATTCCTCTTGGAATACCTACTGTTACTTAGGGTGACGTAGCACAGGAATGAAACTCAGCACTCGCTTACAAAACCCAACTTTATTAAATACTCAAAAACAACACAAAGATAAACTCACAATCATAAAAGGTAGAGTAGACTGGAACTGTATAAATCATTTAGTTAGAAACTGAAACCCCAATTTGGAAAAGACTCTAAACCCCTATTTTGAAAACCCTTTACATTTTCTTACCTGGACCCAAGGCCGAGGGCCTTGGGCTCCAGTTCCCCCAGCAGGACCCCTTCCTCTGGTGCACCACACAAACCACTCCACACCAAACTGACCCCTTGATCAAGTGCACTGGCCTACTTAAAGCAACAGCCTTCAGTAGGTCAGCACAACAAGTTATTGTTTAACAACACTACCAGCCTACTCACACAACATTGCCAAACACTTCCTCTTTACAATATTTGACCCTCCTATTACACATATAATGTTTTCTTTTGTATTTTGTTGCATGTATGTCTTATCTCATGTATTATTTTGTAAAATTGTGATTGCCATGGAAATAAATAAATAAATAAATAAAGGTGCCTGGTGCCACCCAAGGCCCCACTAGAAAAATGTTTTTCTAGTGTTTTTTTTGTGTGCCACCCCAACAATGAGCCACCACGTCTGCCACCTCCAACTTCTTCTTTTTGGTGGTGGGTTTGTTGACGTGGTGGCTGTTTGAAGTGCTGGTACCTTGACGCGTTCCCAACACGACGATGGACGTCAAAGATTTTACTTTCACTCAATAAGCATTTATTTATTTATTTAATCATGCCAACGGTCAAACCAATACAAAAATATGACAAGAACTTTATACTGCATTGAGCAGAGCCAGAGCTTATGCTCCTTGGTGGAGGGGGGATTTTGATTTTAGTTTTTACCACGGTTTGCTTTTGTTTGTTTCTTATTAGAGTAGTGATGGGATAACCGAATGGTTTCCATGACCGAATAATCAATCAGTTATTTTTTGCGTCAATCGGTTATTTTTAGTTGAATGAATCACCGAATCAATTTTAGTCATTATTCACTATCACAAACCACAACTAATTTTTATCCTATGGGAAACTGAATGGCATTTAGTCTTTCAGCGTCAATCGGTGATTTTTAGTCGAACGAATCGCCGTATAAATTTTAGTTACCTGATGATGTGACAAACTAAATCAACTAAATAACTAAATCACCGAATCGCACGGTAAGACTAATTTAACCGAACCAGGATAAAATAACCGAATTAGTCTATTCAGCATCAATAACCGATTGATTCGGTTATTTTCATTCGGTGATTCCCACCACTATATTAGAGGAAGTTGATGTGGTCTACTGGTCTAGTGACTTGTTCTAGTGTTCTTTCTTGTTTCCTTGTTTGTTGTTTGTTCTAAACTGTCTGTAGGTGTAGATTAAGAATAAGAGTTTGTGTTTGTGTGTAGTGGTAGTGTCGTACTGTGTACCTTGCAAGAAATTGTAAAACTTACTACTGGGTAAATTGAAAATATACTTTTGACGCAATTGTGACAGTTTCCTGCCAAGATGAAGAGTAAATTTAGTACTTATGACATTGTATGTCTCATCACTGAACTGCAAAGGTAACCTCTTACGCGTAACTTGATAACATTTCCTGCACCTGCAATTGCCTGAATTACCAATTACTCCAGTCCAGGCAACGTGCTCAAGCTAGCCTAACTTATATTCTAGGTAGCCTATTTGTGAGGTTTCTAAAAATTCCTTAACCGATTTAGAAAGTGTTATTAAAATCTTGTGTTTGTTTCTAGGTCTTTAAGGGGAGCGGGAAAGGCCTATCTCGCCAATGTTAAATTTGCAAATTTTAGGTACACTTTTCTTTAAAAGGTGTAAAGTTATGGCTTGCAAAATTGTAGACTAGCCTATAATTATCAGCCCTTTATGTGTAAACAGACCCAATTTCAGAATTTTTCAATTAAGCGTTACATTGAAATAAAATTTTTTGTAAGACACAAAAATGTTTACAAATTTTACGAGACAAAAATTTTCCTCCTTCAAAACTAGCAATGTGACAGTAATAAAAATGGGTCTAAATGTTACTTATAACACAACAATTATGTATAAAAAATTTCAAGTCTCTAAGTCATTTAGTTCCAGAGACGTGTACCTTTGTTATAAAAAGTTGAACTTTCGGAAAACGAGGTTAAAACAGGGTACAGCCCTGTAGCACCTGCCGCAAACTATATTCATTATAAAATAGGCCTTTCTATATTGAGGATCATAATAGTGCCTCTTTATCGACTTTCTGCATGAGCATTCTTTTTCTTCTAGCTTCTCTAGCCTACTTCTTGATACTTTCAGCAGCTTTGTACCTTTCCCTCGTCATTTCCTTTTTTAAATGTCATGAGTATACTACCTACACTTTTGAAGTTACGCGGAATGAAAACTAGCTGTCGCGATGTTTTGTTTTATTTATTTCAAAAGGCTTACATCTGAAACACATATGAATGTTATGCCATTTGCAAGGGAATTAAAAGGAGAATAAAAATCGGCAGAAAACAAAATTTGTGTAAATAAAAAAAAAATCGGTCTGGTTCCCCTTAAACTCGTTTTTAGCTTTTCTAGGCCTAGAAGTATTTATCCAAAAGCTTTTTGGAAGCCAAACTTAGCCTAAATAGGCATGTATATTATATTTTAAAAATCCTTTGGCTAGGCCTACTGACTTTGGTATTGGGATGTCAGTTGTTTTCTCTTTCGATCAAGTGGAAAGTAATAATTGTAAACAATTTTACTTAGATTCCCTTGGTAAACTTTCTCAAGTTACCTAGGTCTAACTTAGGTCTATGCATGTCACACACAATAAGTTAACTTACAAGGGCTGATTTTGATGTGAGTCCACCCATAAGTTATTTTCACGAATAGACAAAAATTCTATCAAACTCTATTTGTAGCCTAACTTGCGTCTGACTGGAGTAATAATAGGCCTAACTTACTGTACGGTACATAAGTTAATCTACTTTAGGTTGGGAATTGGCTCATCTAGACTCTATCTCATATTTCAGCCTGAATAACTTAAGGCCTAATAACTTATATAAACATACAAATTGTGTGGGTATTGGTTAAAATTAAGGGTAAGAATTTAGGACCCAGACCCCAGCTTAAAAACACTGTCTGAAGTGTGAAATTGTGTAAAAAGTGTAAAAAGTAAAATATTTTTTTATTTATAAATAAAATAATGTTTTTGTATTTTAGCGATTTTGTGAGAAAAAAAATTCTTTGTATTTAGTACCTATAAAACTTTTGTACCAAATGATTTTACTTCAAACCAACATATAAACATCTTGTAGTGTATTCAATTACCTACATAAAAATGTATATAACACGTTGGGTAACAATTTTTGTTTTTACGTTCTAGGGGCATAATAATATAAATAAACGGTAAACCGCAAAATACAACCGCAAGAAAAATGCAACCTTTTATAAACATAATTTGACACTATTCAGTAAATATTCATGTATAATAAAATTCATGAAGTTTACTGTTTTATACACATACACATTTCTCTAAAAATACGAAATAATAACGAATTTAGTAATCAATCGCGGATAAAACGAGAGCGAAAACTCACCGGCAACAACACGCAATGGCGAATACAAGGCACTTTGTGTATGAGACCTTGACAGTAGTGACACACTTTCATCGTCTTAGTGAGAGAAAACGTAAATAACCCTGAGCGCAGGGCTGCCAATATCACAAGCTACATTTCTTCCTCTTCAAAATGACATATTATATGACTAGTAAATAATAACTAACACTGTATGTAATTTGTCTTTTCCATACCGTCACCTTGTGACGGTTGGCCATTTGTTATAAATTTCGAAAACAGCTGTTTTCATAAAATCGTACCAGTTGTCCAATCAATATTTAGTTCTAAAATATCACTACCACAGTGAAGATAAAATCAATGGCTATCTAGTGGTACAACCCGCAACATCCCAAAACAAAAATTACCTGAGCAGGGTAATGCCAAACGAGACATGTTTTGCCAGTTCCCAAGTGTCAGCTGCAAAAGTCGTTCCGCGCCAAAATTCATTTGATTTCTAATCGTCGTGACATTGTTATATACCTGCTACAGGGTTTGTTTATGTAATAAAATGAAAGTTCAGAATGTGATCTTTCGAATGGTATATAGCCTATATTGTTCTCATCTGAGTTGATTATAGTAGCTTTCTTATATATGTGAACCAGATGTAGCATTGACTAAGGAAAATTATAAGATTAATATGCTAGCTCTGCTCAATATCACAAGCAGACAACTGCATTTTACACCTAGTATATTTAGGTATGTGTACACATATAAAGTGATTAATGCATAGGCCTAAATAAATTTGTGTTTCAGGCTTGTTGGGATGAGAGTACAACAAGTATATGATATTGATCACAAAACATACCTGATAAAACTTCAAAGAACTGAAGAAAAGGCTATGCTACTGATTGAGTCTGGGTGCCGAATACACACAACAGCCTTTGAATGGCCAAAGAATATGGCTCCATCAGGTTTTAGCATGAAGGTAGGCCTAGGTCTAAATCATATTTTTTTGCTATAAGCCTAGTCACTAAATGCATGGTTTTTCAGAACTAGGCTTAGGCCATCTTAGATTTGGAAGAGTTGTAGTTTCATGGAAAAAATCAAACATATTTATTTTTTATTTTAAGTATTTATGAAAGCATTACAATTGTACATCTTTTCTCTTAAAAATCCTTGAACCTCATTGATCCGTTACTCGTGTTGTTACGAGAAAAACTATGTTGTTATGAAATTAAACTATGCTTTTATGATAGTAAATAGCTGTTAAGTGAAACTTTTCAATTATAAAAGCTGAACTGAAATGGCTACTTTAAAAAACAGTTGTAGGTAAAAACGGTTTTTAGAGTGAGGTGTATCTCGTCCAACATGAAATCATATCTTGGAATTTTATATCATCACTTATTTTGGTGCTTAACCCATTATACCTACTTATAACTACTATACCACTAGCAATGAGTTAGTAATATTTATTTTCTTAAGTTGAAACTTTTTTCTTCCTATTTCAGATGAGGAAACATCTACGGAACAAACGCTTGGAGGTTCTCAAACAGATGGGAATGGATCGTATAATAGACTTGCAGTTTGGAAGTGGAGAGGCAGCTTACCATGTTATTTTAGAGCTTTATGATCGTGGAAATATTGTACTTACAGATTACGAGTTAACTATTCTCAATGTCCTAAGACCTCACACGGAGGGTGACAAGATAAGGTAAGATGTTCAGTGACGAGTTTTCAAGCTAGTTTTGTCAATGGAGCCAAGGTAATTTGAATATTAAAGACACTGTAAAAAGACGTTATTGCAAGTTAGAAAAAATACCTCGGTATTTTGCCAGAAAATAAGATAGGCCTACTTTCTGCCTAGTTGCAAATGATTAAGCTGTTAAGTATAAAACTTTTAGTTCTTGTGCCAGTATAGCAACATAACACTGTAAATAATTCAGGTTCTATTGTAGGGCAATGAAACAGTTTGTGTTTGGATGCAAGTAACAGTTTTCAATATCTTTAAACTTTGAAGTATCTCCATTGACAGGCCCGTGTTTTGCATGTGATGCACAATGGACCAGAGAGATAATTAATTGTGCCCCTCTCCACCTTCATTGTGGCCGAGACCACCAGGTCCATTTAAAAAAGCGACCCATTGATGGAGTTAAGTAATATATTTAATTAATTGAATTATGCTGTCTTATTTGGACTAAGATATGTCATAATGAGGGTCAAAGTTTAACAATTTTACTGTAATGTTATTTAATGACACCACAGGTTTGCAGTGAGAGAGAAGTACCCCACTGACAGGGTTCACCAAAGAGTCCCCCCACCTACAATTGAACAACTGAAGGAGATATTCAGCAAAGCTAAGAATGGGGAATCTTTAAAAAAAATATTAAATCCTCACTTAGGTAAGCATTTTGATTTTGGAGTTAAAATGTTTAGTTAAAAAACTTAGGCCTATAAAAAATCATTACTCGTCACTTATAAAGCTTAGGATTTTATTTGTATACAGCCTTGTAAAAAAAATGTTTTTGAACTTTTAACTTAATAATTTTACTTGATAAATGTAAAATGTAATAAGAGTGTGGTTAACATATTTGATCTTTCACTGCTATGTGCAACATCATGTGGGATGGTTATGTTCTCACATGCTATTTCACTGTTAGTGATAAAAACTCATCTTTTTCAAAATTAAGTTGCTTTAACTTCTTTGCACTTAACATTTTTTAAATCAACTTTATGTACTATGTTCCATTGAAAACTTGTCATAATTTAGCTATTTAGTTTTTTCAACAATTAATTATGAGCATCGGAAGAATGCCTACTATATACATGACCTGACGTGATTTTTCCCCGACACCCAAACAACAATATTATAAACCTGACCCGACCCGACCGGACTGTAAAAGTCTGGCCCGCAGACCCCTATTTGGAATTTATTTGTCAGATCTAAGAAGCCGTCTTTGTTATTTCATTTACATTCTATGTCTTCGGCAGCACCCAAACCAAGCAATGCATGCCTCTTGTTCTCATTTTAACATCTTTATTTCAGTATGTGTTAAGGTCAGTTGACAGTAAAAGTTCCAAAATAATTTAGCAGAGTAAAGATTGTGCGTTTATTCTACCATACTGTTCAAATAAATGCTTCCATCCAGGTTATTAACAAGCTTGATTCTTCGAGTTTTCTAGAAAGCTCGAGTCAATCCGATTACTGAAATACTCGCATGAAAAAACTGTAGTATCATACGTTCAAGTACTCGCACACCCCTAGTTCAAAGGCAATTTCTATTCCAGTGAATCCACTGTTGCAGTCTTAACAGAAAATTTCTGCTGGCAGGTTAATACTATACCTGTTCAAGCATATTTAAGACAAATCAATGGTCCTTTACAGAATACGGTCCAGCTGTAATTGACCACATGCTGCTGAAGGTAGGGCTGCCCCCAGGGGTGAAGTTGGGCAAAGGATTTGACCTGAGTCAGCTGCACAAGATATGTGAGGCCCTGCAAGAAGCTGAAGCCCTCTTGGATCAAGCTCTTCAGCAACCTTCCAAGGTGTATAAGTCACTTCCAAACCAACCAGAAGCCTTCTTTGCTTATGTCTCTTTTAGCGAATTTCCCCAGTAGGGAATAAGCTATTACCGTAGTACTCATGGTAAGACCTGGACCCAGGACTGATTTACTTTTTCGTTTTGTGGTCCCTAGAGACCAAAAACACCATCCGTTCAAATTTATATATATATCATGGTGGCTACTCTCCGGGAAATTCGGGAGAACCGGGAAACCTCCGGGAATTTGATCTTACCTTTGAATGTCCTGGAAACCACCAGGAATCCACCCAAACCTCCGGGAATCCGGAGCCAGGACAGGAATCGTCGGCTTACTGAAACACTAGCGCTTTTGTTGCCGCGATCGCGGTAATCGGTGTCGCCGAAACCGCAAGTTATGCTCACAGGTATTGCCGCTACCGCAAGAGACGATTATCGGTGTCGCTGAAACCACAAGAAACGATCTCGGGTATTGCCGTGATCGTGCGAAACGATTATCGGTGTCGCCGAAACCACAAGATATGCTCACGGATATTGCCGCGATCGTGAACATATTATTGGTTAAGCCGAAACCGCAAGATATGCTCACGGGTATAGACGCGATCGCGGGAGACGATTATCGGTGTTGCCGAAACCTCAAGATATGGTCACAGGTAATGCCGTGATCGCGGGAGACTATTATTGGTGTCACCGAAACCGCAAGCTATGCTCACCGGTATTGCCGCGATCGCGGGAGACGATTATCGGTGTTGAGGAAACCGCAAGATATCCTCACGGGTATTACCGCGATCGTGGTAGACGATTATCGGTGTTGCCAAAACCGCAAAGTTAGCTCACGTGTGTTGCTGCGATCGCGGTAAACGATTACTGGTGTTGCCGAAACCGCAAAATATGCACACGGGTGTTGCCACGATCGCAGTAAACGATTACCGGTGTCGCTGAAAACGCAAAGTTAGCCCACGGGTGTTGCCGCGATCGCGGGAAACCATTACTGGTGTCGCCGAAACCGCAAAATATGCACACGGGTGTTGCCGCGATCGCGGGACGATTATTGGTGTCTCTGAAATCATAAAATATGCGAACCTGTTTTGCCGCGATTTGCGTTTTGAATGATTTGCTGTTTTGCGCTGGACGAGACTGCAAGATATGCTCACCGGTATTCCCACGATCGCGGGAGATGATTACTGGTGTCGCCTTACCTACCAGTTATACTGTTTTATTATGTTGTATTTAAAAATATTATTCTTTGGAAAAGTTTTGTTTCAAATAATAATAATCATTAATATTAATAATAAATTATTATTAGCGGGTTGCGATTAGTTGAGCGGGTTCCAATAGTAGCTCTTAAAAATCAGGAATTTCTCTTGAATTCTCCTGGAAATCTCCTTGAATTTTTCAAACCAGGTTTATATATATATGTATATTTATTTATATATGTGTCCGTTAGCGCGATAACTAGAGCAAAAATCATCTGATTTTGATGAAATTTGGTACAAACGAGTAAACCTACGTTTATTCGAACGAGTTCCCGAACCAGCATGATCGGACTATGGGAACAGGGGTCTATGGGGGGTTTTATGGGGTAAAAATGGGGTTTTCCCATTTTTGACCCTAAAAACTTAAAATTTAGCTATTTCTTTCCTAACCATTTTGTAGAGCTTAAAAAACAAATAATTTAGTTTATTGAAGCGTCATTATGCGCCTAATGGTTACGGAGAAAATTCCAAAAAATTTAAAATTCCCATGTTATTCTTAGTAGAATAAATAAACTGTTGTCGTTTGCTTGTTTATGAACATATTTTGATCAAATTTGGAAAATGCATTCATTTCATACTAAACTATTAACATTTTACAAAAAAAAACCTTTTTACACTCCCTGTTGCAGCAAACCTAGTACTCGTTAAACTAATGCTATTTAAATAGGGAATAAATGTGATATTTTTAAGGAGACATTTTAGTGTAAATCCAATCAGGCAAATGGAAATTCGCTTAGTCTGCAGGTTTGCTGCGACAGGGGTATTTTCTTAATCTCTGTCTCGTCAAAAAAGCTTTTTAAAAATAGACATTTCAATCATAGAGGAACTTTAAAAATTCCATAGAATATGTTTAATATTTTTTTAGCAGTACTATATAAATTAAAATCAACTATTTTAATTACGTTATTAGTGGTGAGTCAGTGGCTCAGTCAATAGCTCCACGGACTTTTGGGCTTAGGGAATCGATGTTGTGGGTTCGTTTGAATCCTATTTTACCTGCCACTACTTTTTATCAGTAGCGTTCACACTTTTATTGTACCGGCTCACCCCTTGCTTTGTTGTATACGTTCCACACACAGGCCTGTAGCCTATGTGGACGGCAAATGCAGGTTTAAAGAGGCCACCAACTTCTTAAAGGAAAAATCTATATTTCTTGCTTTTAAACTTATATAAGTATATAAAAAAGCTTCTATAAGCTAAGCCCTCTTAAATCCAAAAAATAAGAAATTCACGGTTTATTCCCAGTTTTTTACAGTCATCTTACCATATTTATGTGATATTGATGAGGGTCAACCATCTTTTAACTGGCTACAAACAGAATTGTGGCAGCATTATAGAGTGTCATTTCTGAATTAGAGACAAACAGAGCAGTGTAGGGACACACATTTTTCCCATTTCTGACCAAGTTAAGATTCTAGACACTAAAAGTTTGAGACCCATGACAGAAAACCAAGCCAAGCTTAATGCTCACGATTGCAGAAAGCGTCTGCAAATATTGTGCAATCTAAAGGCTATTTGGCCCTTGAGGAAGGGTAAATGCAAGGTAATAGAGGCCACCAAACTTTTTTTTAACAAACAATAATTGACCATTCAAAACTTTTGCCTCCTCTCATCCGTTCCTGGGAATTCATTTAAGTCACGAAAGGTTGGGTTAGAGGTTGGGACTAACTTTAATTTCTTCATCTCCTGATCTTTTTTGCACCCCCAAATCCTAATTGTAATTAAACTTTTTTTCAGGGCTATGTTGTACAAAAAGCTGAAAAGAGGCTGAACAAGGATGGTGAATCTGACGAGCTCATAACGAATCAAGAATTCCATCCTCATTTGTTTATGCAAGTTTCAACCCAACTGTATAAGGAATTTGATTCATTCGATTTAGCAGTTGATGAGTTTTTCTCTCAAATGGAAGCCCAGAAAATTGACGTTAAAGCTCTTCAACAGGTACGGGTTTTGCATCAGTACTTTAAACAGCCTAATTTATCGATTCCCATTCTATTAAATCTTACACATTAAAACGTGACAGGATTTTTTATTTTACTATTATGAATCAACTACCTGGGGATTTTTGTCTTGAATGAAAGATAGTTTTGATAGGAAGGGAATGTTGAAGCCATAATTAATTTTAGTTAGGGTTTAGAAATTGAGTGTTAATTTTTCAAAAGTCTAGCAGCTGACGCTAACAGTTTAATGTCGTTTTAGTGCTGGCTTAACGGTACTTTGTTATTATCCAGAGGCCACCCTTATACAGTGCACTGTGGCTGTTAGGTTAGGTTGGGTTATCATAAATATGATTGTAGGACTTTCCTTGATTCGTAAATCAAACGATACCAGATGAGACATACTTTCGCCCGCCAAATCCCCTCCAAGTATGAGAGGTCAGGTCGTTGACCGGAGCGCGCGCATCACCTGTCACCGCCTGTATCTGGGTCAGTGTCTTCATGAGTGATGGCTCATCTGGTATCGTTTGATTCATAATGAAACGAAGAAATTCCTACAAACATCCAACATAACCGCCGCAGCGTGCTGAATACCTACTTGCCGGAGTACACGTGAGCTAGCGGCGGCGTAGTAATGATACGTCAATTACTAACTTACTGCCATGGCCACTTGTACCCAAGCTGGTATCTCCCTCTTCTAGTTTAATCTTTTCCATATCTTTCCGGACTTGATCCCACCACCTGGCCTTTGGTCTTCCTACTGGTCTCCTTCCCCTCGGATCTCCCCTTAGTATCTCCTTCAAAAAGCTCTCCTAATCTCTCCTCAAGATATGGCCAACCCTCCTTAGCCTTTTGCTTTTAGCCCCTCCTACAATATCGGGGTCTCAGAATGATTCTCTTAATTCTTGGTTGTGGCGGATTCTCCATACTCCATCTTCACACACTGTGGCTCAGTCGGTAGCGTCGCAGACTTCGGGCCCAAGGCAGCGATGTCGTGGGTTCGGATCCTAGTCACTGCCACTAAAATTTATCAGTACAGTTCACCTTCGTACTGTACCGGCTCACCTCTTGCTTTGCTGGATACGTTCCACTCACAGATCTGTAGTCTATGTGGATGGGCAAATGCAAGGTTAAAAGAGGTCGCCTCGCAAAGGTTATAATCTTTTCCAATAATGATATGTCAATACCAGCTAAAAACCCCTAGGCCCTATACCTATCATCGACCCACCACTGTTATAAAAATGTGATGTTTTGTAGGAAAAAGAAGCTCTGAAGAAGTTAGAGAATGTGAGGAAGGACCATCAGGACAGACTGCACGCTCTTCAGCAGAATCAGGAGGTGGACAAACAGAAGGCGGAATTGATCTTGCGCAACCAAGAGTTGGTGGAGAGTTGTCTGCTGGTAGTGAGGACAGCGTTGGCCAACCAGCTGCCTTGGCCTGCGATAGATCAGCTAATTAGCGAGGCCAGGAGTAGAAGCGACCCTGTTGCACAAGCTATCACCAAACTCAAACTGGAGACCAACCACATATCTCTCAGCCTGAGGCAAGGGCAACATAAAATCTTAATTTGTAAAACTTACTGTTCTTGCTGCATTCATTGTCCATGCAAAAAAAAAAAAAAAAACATTTAAAGCCTAAGTTTAATGGAACAAAATAGCTAAATTTAATATCTTACATGTCGCACAAAGCTCTTGTGATTAAGTAAGCCTGCTTGACACTTAGACGTATTCACCACTGAGAATATTCTAACATAGCTTGTTTAGTCTCAGTCTTTGAATGTGCAACTATTCAGCTCCAATTATGATTTCTTGGTGTTCAAATTATAAAAGGTAATTCACAAAATTGCCATATAATACTGGCATCATAAAAAACTAGCCAGTTCATATTGCCTATAACTAAAAGTATATTAACATTAAATCATTGAAATGGAACTAATAAAATTATGATTGTTTTAGTGATCCCTTCAGCAGTGAAGATTCAGACAGTAACGACTCAAGTGAAGATGAAGAAAAGATTAGAAAAATTCCTCCAATGACTATTGATATTGATTTAGCCCAAACATCGTTTGCTAATGCTAAAAAGTGAGTTTTAATTTAATCATTCCTCTACTGCTACTGCCATCAAAAGATTATTTAGCTTCATTAGATTTTCAGTTTTTACTTTACTTTTACTGAATTTTCCTATGAACCAGCAAGATCAGGTCATAAGATCCCTTTACAGGTTTGGAGTTTAAAAATTTTAATTAACGCTTAACAAGAAAACTCCCATTTTTCATTAAAACCATCGTGTAGAACTTAAAGCAAATAATTTTGTTTATTTAAGCGTTATTGTACGATTAAAGGCTACGGAGAAAATTCTAAAAAGCTTTAAATTCAAAATTCCTGTGTTATTCTTATAGAGAAATAGTTTGTGTCTAGTTTGTCAGAAGTTTGTTTGTTTATGGATTAATTTTGCAATTTTACTTATTTCATACTATTAACATTCTCTGAACCATCAATAGAATTCTTATGTAATTGTCTTCTTCCAGATATTATGATAAAAAGCGGTCAGCAGCAAAGAAGCAGCAGAAAACTGTTGAATCTGCTGGCAAGGCATTAAAATCAGCAGAGAAGAAAACTAAACAAACATTAAAAGAAGTTCAAGCTATGACCACAATTACAAAAGCCCGGAAAGTTTTCTGGTTTGAAAAGTTCTTCTGGTTCATCAGCTCTGAAAATTACCTGGGTTTGTAAAATACTACTTTAATCTATTTTAGATCCAGTTGAGTCTCACTAATGAAGAAGTGTTGGACTTGTTGTAATTTTTAATTTCTGATGTGCTTGTAGTAATAGGAGGGAGGGACCAGATCCAGAATGAACTGATAGTGAAGCGCTATCTGCGAGGCAGTGATGTTTACGTCCACGCTGATCTACACGGTGCCAGTAGTGTAGTGGTCAAGAACCCCTCACCCAGCCCTGTTCCTCCCAAGACACTGAATGAGGCTGGGGTCATGGCTATCTGCTACAGGTAGTTGTACCAATAATTCACAGACCTCTTGCTAGATACAAATCCACTTGTTGTTTAGAGTGGCAAAACATTTTGATACCGGTATTTTAGATGTATAATATCTATTTTAAATTCTATTTGTAATGGATGATACATCTGCTCGAATGTGTATATTTATAGGCAAATATATCTTAAGGATAGATGTTGAACGGATGAGAGATGGCTTTGTTACTGACAGAGATCTGCTAATTGACCATGGTTGATCTGTTGCCTGGTTCATCCACCTCCTACTGTATGTCCTTAAATAGTTTAGGAAGTTTGCGTGGTCAGTAAATTCACGCTTTTGCCGCAAACATGGATGACGACTATAACGTTTCAATATTTGCAGTCAACGATGGTGATATCTACACAACCGCGGGAGATGTCCAGGATTTTCACGTGATTGAGGAAGACTATGATGAAGTTTCCGTGACTGATAGAGATATTTAGGATTTTGTCGCTATCTTGGGACACGATAATTGCGTTTCTGTTGCACTATAAAGCTGTACCTAAAGTAAATATTTGTCTCATTTCAATAAATTTATATTTGAAACTTGAAACTATATTTGAAATATTGTCTATTACTACTTTTTTTCTCTGGTACAACTACAGCCAAGGACAATATTAATACAGTTTGACAAATTAGAAAAATATATTTGGTAACAAAACCTTTAAAATGTCTTTAAATGTATGGGAATTGTCCATGAACTTTTTATCCAGAATGTAGCAGACACCTTGTAATGCAAGTTAAGTAAAGTCTGCTTATCCTGTACAAAACATAGGCCTAGCAAGTAGTCAGTTTATCTCGTAGTAGACTTTGACTTGTTCATCAACATTAACTGAAGTTAAATGGCAAATTCCAAATAGGCAAAGCCTTAAGTAATTTTCTTGACTCAAACCCACAAAAGGCACAGATGAGATTAGGATGTAATTGGGCAGGATTGAGATTAGGTCTTTAATTTAACACCAAAAATGTGCTATTTGTTACACAGGGTGTCCACCGACCGGGAAATCCGGGAAAACCGGGAATTATGCGTGATTTTTTTGAACCGGGAAAAAACCGGGAATTATGCGTGAATTTGATATTTAACCAGGAATTTTTTGGCGCGGACGCGGGAAACGACGATGACGTTTCCGTGACCGGGGGAGACGATGACGACGTTCCCGAGACCGTGGGAGATGACGACGACGTTTCCGTAACCGCGGGAGACGATGACGACGTTTCCATGACCGTGGGAGACGACGATGACGTTTCCATGACCGCGGGAGACGACGATGACGTTTCCGTGACCACGGGAGACAACGATGATATTTCCGTGACCGCGGGAGACGACGATGACGTTTTCGTGACCGCGGAAGACGACGATGACGTTTCCGTGACTGCGGGAGACAACAATGATATTTCCATGACTGCGGGAGACGACGATGACGTTTTCGTGACTTCGGGAGACGACGATGACGTTTTCCGTGATCGTGCATGCGGACGATGACGTTTTTGTGACCGCGAGAGACGACAATGACATTTCTGTGACCGCGGGAGATGATGTCGACGTTTCCGTGACCGCGAAAGATGACGACATAATTTTAGTATGAAAAGTACGACCTGAACTACCTGGAATTTTTTTTTACTCATGAATTTTGTCTGGTTCGCCTGGTGGACACCCTGTTACAGTTAAAAAATATAATCAATACATTTTACTAATCATATATGACAAATAAGCAGGTACTAGTTTTGTTACCTCATTTGCAGTGCTGCCTGGGATGCCAAGGTTACCACAAGTGCTTGGTGGGTGCATGCTGACCAAGTGTCAAAAACTGCCCCTACTGGAGAATACCTGACCACTGGAAGTTTTATGATAAGAGGCAAGAAGAACTACTTGCCACCCTGCCACCTCATAATGGGGTTTGCCTTCATGTTCAAACTGGAAGAGAGCAGCATAGAAAGGTTTGTTGTGTAGTTATTACTTTAACTTTTCAACTACAACAGTAAACTAGTTACAAACTGTATGGCCCTTAGCTTTTCCAAGAGGAGCATATGATTTACACAGTCAAAGGCTTTAGAGAAATTAAATAAGGTAATAATTGTTCCTTGCTGATGTTCCATTGCTGGTCTAATGTCGTCTGTCACTTGTAAAAGTGCTTTTTCTGTCCTGTGAGGTGTCCGAAAGTCAGACTGTGAGTTGCATAAGATGTTGTTTTCAGTCGGAAAATCAGTTATTTGGCAGTGCACGATTCTTTCAAGGCCTTAAGATAAGGCAATATACTGATCGGCATGAAATCCTGGCAAGAAGCCGGGGCTGGGATTTTATTTAAGGGACGAGGGGCAGACTTCCAAGAAATGGGGAATATGCTTTACCTTAAAGATGTGGTGAAAATGCATGTGATAGTTGGGAGTATAGCAAAGAGAATGTCTTTAATTAACTGAATTGGAACGCCATCAGTTACAAAAGCATTGCAGTCATACACACCTAAGAAGGCACTTGTGCCCGGTGCGGGGCGATAGAGGAAAGGGTCAGTTATGAGGGAAATGATGACATCCCAAAAACATTGGGTTTGCCACTGAATCACCCCCTACCTGCCCTTATCAGGTATCACACACCCCTGACAGTAGCTGTCACACGCAAACAACTCTATTTTTAACAATGTTTGTTTTTAATGTAAATATATATTTTCAAAATTTGGAAAAAAAATTAGAAAAAAGTACTAAACACGATGTGTGATAATATTTGCAAAAACTAGTTGTTATTGAATAGGTTTCTTAGATAGTATGACAAATAAACATATTTGAATCAGACATCAGACAGGAATGTCAAAGAGTACAGTAGGGATGTTGCTAGTAGGTGACTCATTATCGAGACATCTGCGCGTAGAAGCAACTCACAGTCAATTCCTGCACATATGATGAGTGACATGGATTTTGATAGAATGACTAATTGACGTATTAGAAAACGGATTAGTTGCTGTCAGATAGTCTTCTGGATTAGTTGTAAAATTAAACTTTCATAATTATTTGTAAATCTACATGAGTTAGGCTTTCCACATAATTATTTGTAAATCTACATGAGTTAAGGCTTTCCAATGACCCATTAACTAACAAAATCAGTCCAGTAGAACTGTAGATTTAGTTGTTCAAAGTTCCACAAAAAATCACTAACTCTGTATTTTCTTACTACTATAAATTCGGAGGTTGCTTAACTTTCTTGCAAATAACTTTTTAATGGTGAGAAAATCGACCAAAGTGGAATGTGATATTCTGAAATAGGATAAAACTTCCTATAATTTGATGTACCATGCATTTCTTGAAAATACTTAAAAAGGCAAGCAAAAGTTGCTTTGAAATAAAAAAATGTAGTTTCAACGTATTTCTTTTGTAAAAATTTTATTTTTTTTATTTTTACCTTAAACCATAACAAAAAACTAACTTTCATAATTGTTTGCAAATCTACACGAATTAAGCTTTTCAACGACCCATTAATTAATAAAATCGGTCAAGTAGAACTCTAGATTTTGTTGTACAAAGATTTTTTAAACTGAATTATATATAAGTAGTTAAATTGGTTAAATTCAGGATTAACATATTACCTTAGTACCTCAGTAGAATTCCAAAGCTGTGATTGGGAACTCTTTGGAATGTATAATAGTGACGTAAATATTCGCTCGGTTATATTCGATATTCAAAAATATTATGAAGTATTTGATTCAAACCCAAAAATCACTATTCGCACACCCCTAATATTTAGAAGGCTAATTGATTTGTATTGATTGTTTAGACACAAGGACGAGCGCAGAGTAAGGACAGTGGAAGACGACAATATCCTTGAGGAAACTGTAAACAACTCTGAAGACGTAGAAGTGGAGCTCAGCGACGATGAACCAGGTAAAATGCAAAACACACTGTTTACGCTATAACAATAGAGTTTACACCTTAATTTAAAAGAGTACTTTGATTAAGCATTTGATGGCTGTATATGTTACCTTAACTTATTCCCATTGTCCTCACAAACACAAAAAGTTTTATATGAAGCACTTACAATTATGAATAATTTAACTGCACAGTAATTGTTATTATTATCTTAGAAAAATCTAGTTTGTTGTTATCATAAAATGTGTACACAGACTATTAATTTTTTCAGGAGAAAAGGATGGCTCATTATTAGAAGATGTTAAGGAAGAAGAAGAAGATAATGATGATGATGAAGAACCTCACTTTCCTGACACCCAAATTAGAGTTGATCATACAAGTGAGAACAAGTGAGACCTTTTGCAATCATATTAACTCTTCTATGTAGTTTTTTTTTTTTTTTTTTTTTAATCTTATTTCATGATGCTAATGGGCAGAGGTTTTGTTTCTTAAGATGTAACAAATTTTTGTTTTTAATAGAGTTATTTTGTTCCAAAAACTTTCCAATCACATTTTAAGGCCTAATTAAGTTACGGTAATGAACATGTTTTGTTCAGTAAAATCATTGATTTTCTATTCAAGTCAAAGTTAAGAAATAAATTTAGGTATATAGACAATAGACATCAGTCAGTTCTGGTTGCAGGGTCAGTGTAACAGCAGCAATGGGAAGTCTGGATCTCACTCCCAAGGCAGAATCTGAACAGACTGTCGTGTATCTCGGTGATGATCAACCAGTGGTCATCACACCAGCTGCTTCCAGACAAAAGCAGCAAAAACCCCAAAAACAATCAAAAGGTATGTTATGATGATTTGGGTATCTAAGTTGATATAGTGCTTGTATGGTAATCAGAAGATTGCTGGCTTGATCCTAAGAAATGTCAGAAGCTTTGGTGATGGTTTGAAACTAGCTGTAATTGATCATTAGGCTTGTAGCCAAATTGATTATTGAAATATTTGTATGTTTTTTAGAAATAGCTTCTTGGAATCTTGCACATTTCAATCGCCTAATTTCATTATTTCTACACTGTATTCTATTTTAGTCACGTCAGAAAGTTTTTCATCTGTTTTAATCTTATCTCCTGATTTACTGGATTATTAACACACATTTCCATGCATTATTCACAGTGATAGTTACTATTTCTCTCTTTTATTTCAGATACAAAACAGGAGGAAAAAGAAGAAAAGGAAGAAAAAGAAAAGCAAAATACATCTCAGGTTAAGAGAGGGCAGAAAGGAAAACTAAAGAAAATCAAAGAAAAATATAAAGATCAAGATGAAGAAGAGAGGAAACTTAGAATGCTAATTTTACAAGTCAGTATACATTTTAATCAATTAAATATCTAAATGATTTTTATAAAACTTCTTTGGTAGTTTGCATATGAAGGTTAAAGAGTGTTTATTATAGGAACTAGGTTCCTAATTGCAAAAGAATGATAACTTCTGTGTAGTACACAAACAAGTTTTCACTAGCTCTAATATCTTTTAATGTTTATTTAAGAGTGCTGGCAGTGGAAAAGTAAAAGAAACTAAAAAAACCAAGAAAAATGCACCAAAACCACCTCCTGTAGTGAAGAAGCCTGTTCCAAAGCCGTCCACCAAGCCCACTAGCACAGTTGGTGACAAGGACGGGGCGGGGGACAGCGGTGGGGAGGAAGAAGAGGGAGAGACTGTGACAGCTGATGTGGACATGCTGGTCTCCCTCACAGGACAGCCAGTAGCAGACGACGAATTACTGTTTGCTGTACCTGTAGTGGCACCTTACAACACAGTGATCAACTACAAGTGAGTAACTAATAAATTGAGATGAATGATTTAAAAATAAGGTACAATTTGTGCACTCTGAAAAAGAAATTTAGAAATTGATTTTTTTTTTGTATGGTTTGAAGAATGCATCCACAGAAATTTCCTTTTAGCCAATTTCCCTATTGGGAAGTAGCTATTACTGTAGGTGGCATGAGACCTAGACCCTGGACCGATATACTTCTTCATTTTGATGTTCCTATTGGATAAAAACCACAATTTGTTTAAATTTGTATACAGGGTGGCTGAAAATTAACTTGCACCCCCCTTAACTTTTTAACTATTTGAGATATTTGAATTCGGTTTGCGGCAACCTGTTTAGATATGAGGGACTACAATAATTAATTATGGTTAATTTTGAAAATTTTGCTCTTAGGGGTAATGGTGGGGGGGGGGGGGGTAGCTCAAAATTGTCAAATAGAAAGTATGGTCGAGTTTGGTATCATTTTACAGGTCTTGACAAAACTAACCAATAAACATAAAGAAAATAGAAATCGGACAACTAATAACAAAGTTGCAGCTAAAAATGATTAAGGCAATGGTTATTAACAGTAATTTTTAACTGCCATTTTGTTATTAGTGGTCCGATTTCTATTTTCTTCGGGATTTTCTTCTCATGGTTATTTGGATTTGAAACGTTTTAGGGTGCCATTTTGTAATTAGTTGTCCGATTTTGGTTTTATTTATGCCAATTGTTTAGTTTTGTCAAGACATGTAAAATGATAAAAAACTGGACTATACTTGCCATTTGAAAATTCCCCCTACCCCCGTTACCCCTAAGGGCAAAATTTTCAATACTAACCATCATTATTGTAGCACCTCATTTTTAAGAAGGTTGCCCCAAACCGATTTCAAATATCTCAAATGGTTGAAAAGTTAAGAGGGGGGTGCAAGTTACTTTTCAGCCACTCTGTATATGTATGGGTGAATGTCAAATTGAGAGGGAATTTCAAAAACCATTATAAACATAACCATGAAGTTTCAGTATTTTAGAGTATGCCTTTCTTCCAAATAGCAGTACAACATTTGGTCACCGCTGTCAACTCCACTCATAAAGTGGATATAAGTGTTGAATGTGTAGTCTGGCTACCGACTCACCATGGAACCCCTGTAGTCCCACCAAGATCCACAGTCAAGGTATGGTGTCACCTGAGATGTCTCCAGCTGACTGCTACAGCATACTGACTGCTAAACTATCCAGCCCCAACCCTTAGTTCCCACTTCTATAGGTCCAGAACAGAATTTACTTCGTTAATGACTCACATTTTTATTTTTTTACTATACCAAGCCTATATGTGTTTTTTTTTTTTCAGATACAAAGTGAAACTGACTCCGGGCACTGGTAAGAGAGGCAAGGCGGCAAAAACTGCTCTCAATATGTTTCTCAAAGACCGTAGTGCGACTAACCATGAAAGGGACTTAATGCGTAGTGTGAAAGATCAAAATATGGCAAGGAACTTGCCAGGAAAAGTAAAGGTATCCGCTCCTCAGCTACAGAAACTAAAGAAGTAATAAATAATGTATCAGTTAATCATTATTTTTGTTAGTATTTTTTGTTTGTTTTATTTATTGTTAGTCACTATACTCTGTTATTATATTCTAAACATTTTGGGTTGATGTATTTATATTCAGATTAATTTAATTTACTTAACCTTTTCAGTTGATTTGTTTTGGCTTTGCAAAACCTATTTTTCTCTTTATAAAACAAACATACAGGGTGAATAAAAAGTCAAGAACCCCCTCTCTAATATTTTTCTAAGTAAATATACAGAGATATCCTTTTGGTGGTCGTGCAATCTTAGCAGGAAGTTTCATTTTATGATTTTTAAATTTTTAAATGTCCCCCAAAAAATCGCGCATAAATGGTAATATTGGTTCGTAATTGTAATATTAGCTGCAATTTTGGACAGAGGAAATATAGCGAACTCTAGTTTTCACCATTCTTTAAGTTTTTGTAAACACTTCAAAATTAGGTGTCACTTGAAGGGGGTTTACATTTAAAATTTTTGAGTTGCCCCCAAAATCCCCCTTTTTGGGGGACACTCAACAATTTTAAAATCATAAATGAATCTTCCTACTAAGGTTGCATGACCACCAAAGGATAACTCTGTAATATTTATGTTAGAGAAAATTAGAGGGAGGGAAACTACTTTTTATTACACTAGAAAATTAATGTAACAGTAACGTCATTAAACTTTTGACGGGCTACCATTTTGGATAGAGAAGAGATAGCGAACTCTGGTTTTCACCATTCTTTAAGTATATGTTAACACTTCAAAATGAGGTGTCACTTGAATAGGGTAACATTTACAAATTTTGAGTTGCCCCCAAAATCCCCCCTTTTTAGGGGACACTCAAAAATTTCAAAATCATAAAATAAAACTTCCTGCTAAGATAGCAAGACTACTAAAAGGATATTTCTGTATATTTACTTAGAAAAATATTAGAGGGGGGTCTTGACTTTTTATTCACCCTGTATATACAGTCGGAAATGTTGTATCAAATAGTTTATAGGCCTAAGTATGGACATTTTCATGAATAGATGCTAGAAGCTATTTGGCACTTAACCAGTCTATAGCCCAAAGATGGGGCAGCCATCAAATATGGCTAACGAGATACCATACATGCCATGTATGATTGCTTGCCAACTTATTACAAATACAGAGTCTATCTTTTTCTTTGTTAAAATATTTTATTTGATCTTAGATTTACAATTATTGCAGTATTGGAAAGAAGTTGTCTTGTTGAATTTGTACTCTGTAACTTAAAATGTATATATAGATCAAACAAATTATATTGAATAAACTATACATTGTTTTATAATTATTATTGATTTATTTACCTTCTTATCTAATCCCGCTGTATACTATGCATTACAACGTTTGGTAGCCTAATTTTTTGTTTTTACATGAAGGAATTTTGGACTTGTTGCCATAAAGTCAAAACTTCTTCACGTCACTATATATTTCAGTTGTGTTTTAATTTTTCATTAGCTACCCATCGTTAGCTATATGTTAAATATTCCTCATTCATATATTGCACTGTTACATTTTTTGCAGTGGGTGAAGAACTTGATTTGTACTTCGAGAGCTAAACTAAGAAGTAGATAAAGTTTTAATTTGACGTTTTTCTAAAATCCACCCCAAATAATTTGGAAAAATATATATAACTGGGTAAAAGGAGTTACAATTTTTTAAATTCTCAATCTTAAGGAGTGATACTTATTTTACATGTTACTTTAAAATGCATTCAATAATATGATAAGAACATAAAATAGGTTTTTTCAGAAATACCTTTTTTAGGTCCAAACAAATTGGACACCCTATTGAAATACTTTTATTAATTGCAAAAGTTGTTTTATTTACAACTACCCCCGTGCGGCTCCCGGGATAGAATAGGACCGCAGCTTTCCCGGCTTGTCGTAAGAGGCGACTAATAGGGGTTGGGAGATTCTTCTCTTTATGCTCCCAACTTTGTCTGAGGTCAAGCTTTCTTCCGTCTTTGGCTTGGCTCTCAAAATTATTTGACTTTCCTATCACTATTTAACTCAACCTCCTAAGGGAGGTTTTTCTGTCTTATCTTTTTCAACTGGGGAGAGTCTTACAGGGACTGGGACTGATGTGTTCCTCATACACTGATACGATCCTATTGTGGGTCGTCAGAACCAGCCCCTTCCAGTGACAGAATTCCAATTCCATGAACTTTGATAGAGTAAGTGTCTGATCGGGAGCTTCAAGTCTCTTGGACGATTGACACACCTCTTAGTCATCTTGCTGTAGAATCTAGAACATGTCAACGCTCTCTGGGTTGGTGACTAATACCACCTCACCTCTTTGGTTTTCTGACTGTGTAGGCACTGTTGCAATCCGGGCGCAGAACTAGAGTCTATATACTTAGAGCAGCCCCACTGGAGAGGCCAGTTGTTTGTTTCACTTTAATTTAGTGACGTAACTTTTCAATGTCTACCATTCCCCCAAGAAAGTGTTGGACAAAGATAGATAATTCTACGACAGATAGATTCTTGTGACAAGATATGAATTTATAGAAGATAGTTTGCAAGAAACAGTGATGGAGTTATTTAATGCCTGTGCTGTCTAGTGGGAAATGACCATCACCGTCTTGTGACAAGTGGAACAATCCCATTTAGGGTTAAGTGACTCCTACGTCTGTCTATCAGAAGCAAAACAGGGAATTTGATGTATTCCTTCTTTAGCCAGGGTAAAAAAATTGCCGATGTAGCAAAAGAAAATGCCTGGTTACCCATCCCCTTGATGGTCTTCCTAAGACCCAATCTTTACCTTTGGGAGCAGTCTCAGCAATATGTCTAGGGATTCTGACGTATGGGTATACAACGCATGGAGGTAGAACGTCCCCATTTACATTATCGGTAACTAGGCTAGAAATGCTCTCTTTCTCAAAACATCCTTTGATCATATAAAAGTTATCATAGTTAACTGGCCCCAACACCAACCCAGTTTCTAGGTTGTTTCTGAAACCAAATTCATCAGTGCTGTAAATGCGCTTGTGATAATTTAAAATGTCTAGTGCATTTTCTTTGCCTAAGTATTCCAATATACCTTTTCCCCAAGATGTTTTCTTTTCCTCAGTGACGGAACATCTACCCCGGTTTATCACCTCTGTATGGCACTGGGTCAGTTGTGGGTGTCACTTTGAAAAACACCTCAGCCAAGAAATCCCAGGCTTATTATTAACGAAATGAGTCTGACGTTGGTCCTCAGAAATAATGTTTTATACGGTTTCCATCAAAGTTCTTTTTTGAAGGGGAAACCCTTTCATAGCTTTATCAACAATATAATTTGCTAATAAACTCTCCTCTTCATCTGATAGCACTGGATTCGGAACAATTTTTCGCCCTTCTGGAGCGTTAACCTTATATTGAATGATTGCCTGGCAGCTTCTTGACATGAAGTTCGTTCTCCAACTTCTTGAAGAGTAGCAGTCATGGCCTCTGATGCTGGATGGCTGTTGGGGTGCCTCCTCTATTAACTTTCCGTTTCTTCAGACGACCTACATTCATTCTGAAAGTGAATGGTCTAGTTTAAAAATCAGTATTAATAGTATTAGGGTGAACAATTATATGTACTTGAAAAACAAGTGATTGGTCAAGGTGATAAATTACTTAAACACAAGGAAAGTGTATAATTGATCAATTACTGGCCTGAAGCAGATGGCAAATTTCAGTAATTGATCTGTCTAAATATCATTCTTAATTTTTTACTGCTAATCTTCCCAGTAATATTATCTTAAAAGAGTATTAATTTCAGATAATTTTAGATATAAATAATACCCCCGCCGCAGCAAACCTGCAGACTAAGCGAATTTCCATTTCCCTGAATGGATTTACACTAAAATGTCTCCTTAAAATTATCACATTTATTCCCTATTTAAATAGAATCAGTTTAAAACATACTTAGGTTTGCTGCAACAGGGAGGGTAAAAGTGTTTTTTATGTAAAATGTTAATAGTTAGTAAGAAATAAAAACATTTTCCAAATTTGGGCAAAATATGTTTATAAACAAGCAAACTACAACAGTTTACTTATTCTCCATAAGAATAACATGGGAATTTTAAATTTAAAATTTTTTGGAATTTTCTCCGTAACCATTAGGCGCATTATAACGCTTCAATATACTAAATTATTTGTTTTTTTAAGCTCTACAAAATAGTTTCAAAAGAAATTGAAAAATTTTATGTTTTTTGGGTCAAAAATGGGAAAAACCCATTTTTTCCCCATAAAAGCCCCCATAAACCCCCGTTCCCATGGTCCGATCATGCTGGATCGCGAACTCGTTCGAATAAACGTAGGTTTACACGTTTGTACCAAATTTCATCAAAATCGGATCATTTTTGCTCGAGTTATCGCGCTAACGGACACATATATATATATATACTAGCTGTAACCCGCGGGCTTTGCCCCGTTTAACTTCTTAATTTTCAAGATTATCTCGTTCGCATGGCTCAATCACGTTCTGGTTGAAGTTTGTTCGCTACGCTCACTCACCTTTAGGTTGGAGCTCGTTCGCTACGCTCACTCACCTTTAGGTTGGAGCTCGTTCGCTACGCTCACTCACCTTTAGATTGGAGCTCGTTCGCTGCGCTCACTTGCCTTCAGGTTAGCTCGTTCGCTACGCTAACTCGCCTCCAGGTTGAAGTTTGTTCGCTACGCTCACTCACCTTTTGGTTGCAAATTAGCTGTTGTTATAAATGTAAAAGAAATAATAGTGCTGCACCCTGTTGGTAATCCTTGAAACTTTAATGCTATTGAACATCATAGAACAGAACCAACTTGTTTAATTGAAACAGCTGTTAAGATTCAATAATTCCATTTCTCATAAGGTTAACATTGGAAACTCCAGAGCCACTGGGGTGGAGCCCGAAAGGATTTTTGAAATAAGAATATGCCTATATGTTAATCGGGAATGTGAGCTATCATCATGCCAAATTTCAGACCAATCCGACCACTATTTTTCGCGTTCACTTGTCACAAACATACATCCAAACTTTCTCATTTATAATATTAGTAGGATATAAATATATATATATATATATATATAAATATATATATATGAATTTGAACGGATGGTGTTTTTGACCTCTAGGGACCTCAAAACGAAAAAAAAAATCGGTCCCGGGTCCAGGTCTTACCGTGAGTACTACGGTAATAGCTTATTCCCTATATGGGAAATTCGCTAAAAAGATCGCACCTATGTGTTTTTTCCACCACATCAACTCAATAAATAACAGGTATACCAACCAAGAAAATTATTATAACAAAAATCCGCCCAAAACCAACAACAATTAGCCTACTTAAGTTTTACCCTTAAATAGTAGGCATTGATCAACCACTGACACCTGATCAATAATTATTGGTCACTCCATCTTACAGCAAACTACAAAGTTGTGACTAAGAATGATGTTCAATAACTAAACTATAGTTCGGCCGCTTAGAAAACGACCTGCGCGCTAATGCTAAACCAATGCTGGAGGAGGTCACTTTCTAAGCGGCCGAACTGTAGTTTTGCCATCTTGAACAAAATTTCATTAGCAAAGCACACATACATTTTTGCTTTTTTATCCAGTCCTGTGCACTCTAATGTGCCCAAAAGTTTACAGCACATTGCAGCCAAACTACTTTTGCTCTTGACTTCGAATAGAGTTCATTGCAGTAGATAAATGCCGCATCGCCATCTTCGTTGGTGTTGTAAATATGGGGAAACCCGGGAATTATGCGTGATTTTTTTGAACCGGGAATTATGCGTGAATTTTGTATTCAACCGAAAATTTTTTGCCGCGATCGCGTATGACGACGATGACGTTTCCGTGACCGCGGGAGACGACGACGACGTTTCCGTAACCGCGGGAGACGATGACGTTTCCGTGACCGATGGAGACGACGACGGTGACGTTTTCGTGATCGCGGGAGACGACGATGACGTTTTCGTGACCGCGTGTGACGACGATGACGTTTTCGTGGCCGCGTGTGACGACGATGACGTTTCCGTGACCTCTGAAGACGATGATGATGTCCAAACGGCCGCGGGATATGTTAGCGATCCCGAATGCGGACGATGACGTTTCCGTGACCGCGAGAAACGATGACGACGTTTCCGTGACCGCGGGAGATGACGACGACGTTTCCGTAACCGCGGGAGACGATGACGACGTTTCCGTGACCGATGGAGACGATGACGGTGACGTTTTGGTGACGTTCTCGTGATCGCGGGAGACGACGATGACGTTTTCGTGACCGCGTGTGACGACGATGACGTTTTCGTGGCCGCGTGTGACGACGATGACGTTTC